GGACCTGGAATTGTTAGGCTTGGAAGTGTCATTCCAGCAGGGAAGTTTCTGAGACAACAGAACCAGTCCCTTCGTGGTGGTTCCTGACAATAAACCCCAGGCACACGTGAAACAAGTGCTTTGGACCTGGGAGGAGAAGCTTTTTTGCCCTCAGGTCAGCCAGCCATGGAAATGTGTTGCCCAGAGGGGCTGTGCTGTTCCATCCTGGGAAGTCTTTTTCCATAAAATCCCATGTTTATCTCTTTTAAGATGGTCAGATGTCCTCAGGGGGGTCACATATGGTTCTGTTCTGCCCTTGAAGGAGTTGCTTTCTGAAGGATCTCCTGTTCACTGGACAGGTTTTTTAGCAGCAAAACTTTCACTAAATAGCTTAAATAAACTTGTTTATTTTCTTTCTTCCTTTTTTTTTTTTTTTGGTTGTAAATTCATTCTCTGCATATCATTTATCTGAGCATTTCCTAAAAGGCCTTTGATTGTATCAAACCTAAGTGTCTCTTCATTAATGACTTAATGCACCTGCCCTTTCAAGAGAATTTACTGAAGCTGCCTGCTAATAAATGCTGCTTCCATTAATGATTTTTTGCAAATGAGAGGCTAATGGGCAGATCCCCAGCTCTGCAGGCTGGAAGTGATTTGATTAATTTGTCCACATCCCATTCCTGGTTTTGCAGGCTCACATTTTGGAGGCTGCAGGTGTCTTGCTTTCCCCGAGGTGGGTTGTTTATTGCTTTGGGTTGAAATCTTGATATCCTGCTGATTGTTTCTTTTTTTTTATGAGGCAACTGCTTTAGAACGAGAGGAAAAAGCTCTGGATTTGGATCTTGGGATGAGAAAGAGCAGAGGAGTTGGAGTCAAATACTATGGGAGCAGCTGAGCTGCACCTGCCCTTGTGCACCAACCTGAGGGATAAAATTGCTGAGGGCTCCTCAAAAATTGTTGTAATTGTGTCTTGTCTTGTTTTTTCCCTGCTCCTGCTCCTGGAATTCCAAAATGGAACACATTTTATATATCTGAGCCCTCAGGACTCGCTGGGAATGAGAAGCTCCTCAGGGCCCTTCTCTCCTCTGCCCTCCTCAGTTGTCCCTGTGACTCTCCAGAGCTTTTTGGACCTGGGAAACATGGATTTGGCTTTCTGGTTTCTCACCTGTCTGATGCTGAAGCACAAGTGGGAGAATAAACACAAAGGCTTTGCATGTTCTTTTTCTTTATAAATATATTTTTAACAGAAATCAGGGGTCCTGGCCTTTTAAAAATGTGGCAGGATAAGCCCTTTTTCAAACTGTTGGATGGAATCTTGGTCTCTTCCTTGTCTGGAAAAAACTGAATGGGAAAAGTGTTGAAACCTTCCTTTTCACCACACCATCCTTTCACCCTTCAAGTCCATCTGAAGACATGATGCCAACTGGAATAATTTAACAGAAAACTGGAGTAAAAATGCTGTAACTTTTATTCTGGAATTCCTCTCTTCTGTTCCCTGGGCCTGGTCGTGGGTTTTGACCAATAGACACAGAGTGGATGTAATTTATGGATTCTCCAGATCTATCCTTGGCTCTTTTGACCTCTTGCTTTCAGGACTTAAAGCTTTAAATACAAAAGGATCTGAATTTCCCTTTTCGTGTTTGTAGGAGGAGGGGAAATTACCTGAACCAAATATGTGCTCTTGCAGCCTATAAAAAATGGTTTAAATAATAAAATAACAAAAATAATAATAATAAAAATGGTTTCAATAATAACAAATGGTTATTTAATCCATAGCCTTTTTGAAATTTGAACCTGTGCATGAAAGGGGGGAAAAAAGGACCACGTCTTTCAAAGGTGGCCAGATAAGAAATATCAGATCTCCACAGTGGTTTGTGATGGGAGCTGTGCATTAGCACCCTGAAGAACTTAAAATATTAAAGGGGGTGGGAATGGCTAAAAAAATATTTAAATTTAATTTTTAATACAATTATATTAATATATGAATATTTTAGCAGTCTTGCACCCCCCAGGTTCTGACATTCCCCGGTACTTCAACAGTCAACAGTCTTGTTTTATTGCCCTGGAGTCTGAGCAGAAATTGCCATGAGAGAAATGTGATTCATTTATCTACAGTCTTCTTTTGCAATAAATTAGCTTTTCTCTTTTTAAATGCTTCTTCCCCCTGGAACAAACCCCTCCTCCTCCTAGAACTGCAGCTTTTTTAACTGAAACACCACAAAGTTCCCATTTGGGAGCTCCCCAGTTGTATCTTACAATAATTCTATTGAATGATCTATAGCTCCACTTTTATTCCCTATTAGTAGCTGGCTGATCAATGAGCAGCTTAATTGATTGTTAAGGGCAAATGTCTTTATTGGCTTTTCTTTTCTCATTACGACTTAAACCATTCCATGGTCTGCTGGAGTTCTTGTACTCATTTTTTTTGCACTCCAGAACAATAAATTTCGTGATGCAGATGCTGCTCAACAAGATATTGATGCTGCTGCCAGCCCAGATATTCCCAATAAAACAGGGCTTGGCTTTTCCAGCCGGGTTTGTGGTGGCGATGTGGGAAAAGTTTCATCTTCACCTCAGAATTTGCACTTGTTTTGTTACATTTTTTAGGCTGAGCTCTCTCTAATGTCCCCCCCATTTTTCCCCTCTGTGTCGTCTCAGCATTCCCTGGAGATTGATTCCAGGATATTGATTCCTTCTGCTTCCCTTAAGATGTTTATAACTGAATTACTTGGCTGAGACTCCCATAAACTTGATGGAGCTGCTTCATCCATTCATAAAACTCCCTTTTTGCCGAGGCTGCTTCGGGATGAGACAAATTGCACACTGGGCTCAGTGAAACTATTGTGGGGATGGGCAATAATGATTTTGGGATAATCATCATGGCTGGGCTCCATGAACAAAGATTTGGGGAGGGCTCTACTCACGTGCATTGGTGGCTAAAAAGGCCAATATGAGACAGGCACGTCTGGCTGCAAAAGGCACAGCAGAAAGACTCCTTAGGTGGGAAATTCTGCAAGGCACGATTCTTTCTGTGTTGTCTTTTCTCCTCAAGGGTGATCCTGCAGAGGCATCACAGTGTTATAGATGTTGTGTCTCCAGACCTCCCAGTAGTAGACCAGTTATGGTGATCAATATGGCCAAGGCTGAGATGTTGTTTCAGGCAGTCCTTGTATCTCCTCTTTGGGGCTCCTCTCTTGTGGCAACCGGTGGCAAGTTCACCATAAAGCAGGATCTTAGGGAGGGGGTGGTTGGTCCTTCATCCTGGAGACGTGCCCTGCCCAGCCCAGCTGTGTTCTCAGCAACATGGCCTCAATACTTGTGACTGCTGCTTGTTCTAGAACAGAAGTATTGGTCACATAATCTGACCAGTGGATGTTTAGGATTGTGCAGAGGCAGCGTTGATGGAAGTGTTCTACGAGATGCAGGTGGTGGCTGTAGATGACCCATGATTGGATCCATACAAGAGAGCAGACAGCACAATGGCTCTGTAAACACTGATCTTGGTGCTTTTCTTCAAGTGTTTATTTCACCAAACTCTTTTATGGAGTTTTCCAAAAGCTCTCTATGCCTTTGCTAACCTGTTGTCCATCTCCCCGTCAATCTCACCATCCGAGGAGATGAGGCTCCCTAGGTAATTAAACTGCTGGACTGATTTGAGCTCTGATTGGCCAATGGTGATGTGGGGATGATGGAAGACTTCCTGAGGTGCAGGTTGATGGAGAACTTCAGTCTTCTTCAAGCTGACTTCCAGCCCACAGAGCTCAGCAGGATGTTAAACGCTGCAGAGCTGCTTCTGTGTGGGCAACAAGGGCGGCGTCATCAGCATAGAGCAGCTCCTGGACAAGATGGTTTAAGGTCTTGGTGTGGGCCTTCAGGTTGAAAAGGCTTCCATCAGTATGGTACTGAATGTAGATCCCATCCTGATCCTCGAGGTCCTTTGGAGCATCCTGCTGAAAAAGATTGTGAAAAGGGTTGGAGCGAGAACTCAGCCTTGTTTCACACCAGTATTTGGGGATAAATCCAGCTCCTGGGGAGGAGGTCGTGGAAATCTCCTTCCCTGGGTTTGAGCCCCTCAGCAGAGGTGTTGTTGCTGCTCCAGGGGGTTGTTTGACCTCCTGAAATTCAGCATTTTTTTTGTTTTTGCTCAAAGTTCTGGGTGTTCTGGGATGGGATGTCTGGGCTTCCATAGGGTGGGATCTGAGCTTCGTGGGAATGAGGGAAGAACCTGTTTGCCTGTCCTGGAATTCCAGAGTCAGGCAGAGTTCCAGCTGGTGGAGGCAGAGCTTTATTCCATGGATTTTGGTAGTTTTATAGGTATCTTTCTAGGATTGGTGACTCTCCCACTTTCCTACCTTTGTGTGGAAAACTCAGTTCATATCCTTGAGGAAGTTGCTTCCCTGCTTTTCCATTTCTTCGCCAGGCTTTCATTAATTCATCTGACATAACCTAAGGGAAGCAAACATTCCTTTCTTGTCTGCTTGTTTAAACAAAACTGGGAGGGTTTGAGGCAAAATCCTTGTCTAACAATAGGAACTGGAAACCTGGATATGTAGGATGTTGGAAGTGCTTTGCTGGGTAAAATATGCAGCTGGAAATACTTGATTCTTCACACAAAGACACTTCCTTTGCTTCTGTATGAATAAAACCCAGCGTTTTATGACTTTACTATTTATGTCTCTGTCCCATCCCCCCCTGATTTTACTCTACAAAGGCATATTCCTGAAGAAAAATGCATTTAATTTAACATATAGTGCGTGTTGTTTAATTTTCAGCAGGCTGCACTAATTGAAAAGCCGTTGGAGAAGAGTAATTTTTAAAAAAAAAGAGGAATTTTAACTAAATGTTGTGTGGGCTCAAATTTCCAAGCTGGTTAAAAGCACAAAAAGCACTCCAGCTGCTCTATAGGAAAAAAAAAAAAAGCAAATAAACAAACTGAAGCGCCGTGTTGTGCAGTTGTTTCTGTAATTGGGAATATTTTTGTGTTCTGTTAACGTTTAATTGCGTTTTTCTTCTAATTGCAGTTAATAATGAAGAGCTGAAGAAAAGAATAGCTGAAGAACTGGCCTTGGAACGAGCCAGGAGAGACTCTGAAGCTCAAAAGAGGAGGTTGGTTCATTAATAACGAGCAGGATTTCAATTAAACATGTACTTAATGCTTTTATTTTTATTTAGCTGCTTCCTTTCGTGCCCTCAGACAGTGGCAGGTGAGATATTGAGCAAGTTTTGATGTTAAATACCTGTTAAAAGAGCAAATAAATTGGGATTTCCATGTCAGAGCTGCTCTAAATCCCTTTTCACCTCCTGAACGTGGCTTTTTTGCAGCATTTGAAGCTCAATCTGATGATTTCTTTGGAGTCCAAACCATCACTTTGTGGTGCAGGGGCAGAAATAGCAGAGCAGGGCAGGGCTGGGGGCCTTGTGACCCCAAAAGGAACATTTTAACAGCAGTAAAAATGATAATTCTTGTCATTTTTACGAATTCCAGAGATTTCTGGGAGCTGCAGCGGGGCTTGAGTGGATTTATTAGTACCATGTGGTTGCTTTGAACATGCCAAATACTTTATTAAAAACAGTTTACTGGTAGAAAAATCTTGGATATAATTTCTATCTATTGAAACATTCCTTTCTTGAGCTTGGTTTTTTCAGAGTGAACTGAAAGCCTGGGCAAAGCCATTCCTGGCAATTAAAAATTCCCATTTCAATTGGAAATAGATTTTGGTGTCTGGTGAACTCAGTGGACTTCTTAGTCCATTAGTGTGTTTATTTATATTTTCAGTGATTAGCACAACCAGAGAATGACACACTGAATATAAATATTAACTTACACGTTGTCCCCTGCTCTGAGAATGGGAAGAAAAGCTCATTATGATGGATTAAAAAATATTAGAATGTAATTAGAACTACTTAAACTGCCTGCATATATCTGAGTGGTTTCCTACACATCATCATATTATTCTTTAATTGAGTTTGGTTGATGGAGTATATAATTAGATAGGGCTCTATAATGTCCCAGGGAAAAAAAAATCAGGTTTTTCTGGTTTTTTTTTGGCATCAGCAATAAAGGAAATCAATAAATTACAGTGAAATCTCTTCTGTCTGGAACTGGGCACTGACAGGAAAACTTGGGTTGTGTTTGAGCTTCGTGTTGGCTGCTCAAAACTGGAGTTAAATGTGATTAAAACACAGAAATGGCTGGTTTGCAGCAGCAGCATTTTGGAATTCGACACTTTTCAGTCCCTTCCGTTCAGTTTTCCATAATTCAGTTATCCCAGGCTGGGAAAGGGAGGGAGAAGGTTGTCAGAGAGATGATATTTTTAGGGAATAATGCTGGAATTTGTAGGGAATAATGCTGGAAGTCTTCCCTCTCTTTGACTCAGGATGAATGGGGAAGATGCTACATATCAAAACATCTTCTCGTTGTCTTAAAATGAGGGTGAAAAATGAGTGCTTTTGGAATTTAAAAGCATCCAAATAAATTAATAAAGAGGATAAAAAAGGACAAATATCAAGTCTTGTTGGCAGTTTCTAGTTTTTGCTTGATTTATTTAATTGATTTATTTAATTATTTAATTTATTTAATTGAATTTTTAGCCATGGCGAGGATTTTTTAATTATAATTTTTACACAGTATATATAATTATACAAATACATTTAAAACAGAGTGTGGAGGCTTTTTGGTGTTGGGTGACACGACTTTAAAAGATGTTTTTCTTGAGTCATTTTTAAGGTCTTTGTGGGCTGAATTCTGGTTGAGGTTTGTGTTTTAAAAACATTAAAAGAGTGCAGAGTGTTCAGTTATTTTGTCTTGTTCTGGGTGATACAAACATGAAATACAAACTGCAATTTGTGATATAAACCCCAAACACATTAATGCAATGTTAGAAAACAGGACAAAGCTAGAACTACTTCTAATATATTAACAATTTCATTTGATAACCCACTACTTTCAAGGCACTTGTGACAAAAAAATTAAGGTTCTTTTACTTCCACATTCCTCTTGAGGATTGTTTTACCACAGATGGTTTATTTTGAATATTCACATTCTCGTTCCTTCCTCAAAAATATGGGATTTTTTTCTCAAAAATGCTGTTTTTTTCCAATCTTGAAGTAAAATAACATTTAAACACATAAATATCTGAAGCTTTCAACAGTTTGTTGTGTGATTCCAAGTGTCTAATGGCTGATTTCTGTGTGCAGTGTGTGTGACCACATTTGGATTTGATTGCAAAACGTGTTTTACTCATTTCAAGGCTGTGAAGGAAGTTGTAATTTTAACTTCTGTATAAATTATTTATTCACACTTACATCCCCAGTGCAGATGGGCTCCTCTTACCTCTCGCTACATACAGTGAAGGTCTGTTCTCATTTCTGGGATTAAGAGCTGAAAAAATACTCTTAAATTGGGTTTTAATGCCTTTGACTCACTGACAATACAGGAACTGCAGCTCTGGTTTAACAGCTGGATAATTATACATAAAACAGGGGGTTAGACCTGGATTTAGGACATGTGTCCAAAATCCTGTACCTGTTGATCTCTCATATTCCCAAATGTTTTTTCATGTATATTCAATGTATTCATCTCTGTGTGATTGAGTTGGTTACAAACTTTGTGTGCTGAGAACATGAAGCTGCTCTGGATTTCTGGAGCAGGGTGCAAACCAGGTGGCAACTTCCATTTTCCCCCAAATAATAAGGAACCTTCACAGGATTTTCTTCCCTCAGGGACCTCCCTGGGATCTGTGGCTCCCTCAGGAGGGGCAGCTCCAATCTCTGCTCCCTGTGACCGGTGGTGGGATCCAGGGAATGGCTGGAGCTGTGCCAGGGCAGGGTTAGGTTGGATTTTAGGCAAAAGTTCTTCTCCCAGAGGGTGGTTGGGCACTGAAAAGTCTCCCCAGGGCAGGGGGCACTTCCCAAACCTGCCCGAGCTCCGGGAGCGTTTGGACAACGCCCCGTGGGACAGGGTGGGATTGTTGGGGTGTCCGGGGAGTTGGATCCATCCAACTCCAGGGCCAGGAGTTGGATCAATGATCCTTGTGGGTTCCTCCAGCTCAGGGTATCCTGTGATCTCAAACTCCATGGAAACATTGGAAGTTGTTCCCGAGGTTAAAAGCTCCTGTCACGGCGCGTGGGGCTCGTTGTCCATGGCTGGAAGTTCCCCCATGTCTGAGGGCCCTGGGCCGGGACATTCCCTCATCTCTCTGCTCCTGCATCCAACTCATGGACAAACATTCCTGGCAGTGCTTTATTAAAGCTGCTTTTCTGATTCAGCCCTGGGAATAAACTTACTTGGATAAATTGAATAAAAGCAGTTGCTGGGCAGAGAAGCCCTTTTTTTCCCCCTTCCATCACATTATGAGGGAGCAAAATTTCTTTTCCCAGAACTGAGCTGTCCCTGAAGGGAGGGTGTCCTGTTTTGTGTCCTGTTTTTCTCATGTATCTGCTGGGAAGTGTTGGAGGTGGGTTTTTTGAGTAAATTGGACCTTTAGTCTAACTGGTGTAAGTATTCCTGTGCCCTCTCAATTGTGGAAAACAAGAATGTGGTAACTCCATCCCATGTTTCCTGATTTTCCTAATTCTTTTTTGTCCTGTATTTCCTAATTTTTCTTTTTCTTTTTTTTTTTTTTCATATTGACCACAAACCCCAGTGAGGAGCCAAAGCTATTTCTGGTTCACTCCTCCTTTTACTCAGCCCAACTGTTGTTTCTCACTTGGGTTTTTAAACACCTGAAACGTTTCATCTGAAAAGTGTTTCCATTGAGAAAAGTTAATTATTGATTTAAAAGTTGATTATCATTTGATTTGCAACTGAATTTGGCAGAGCTTCAGTTTCAAGGATGATGCTCAAGGTAACAAAAAATGAGAGGATGGACATGAGAAGTTGAGTTTGACAGGTGGTGACAGGGAAGAAATGATAATTGTTGATGCAGTTTCACAAAGTTCTGAACTTATTTTGCGGTGTCATTTCTGAACTGAGTGGAAGTTTCTCTACTACATACACTGACCTTGTCCTTGAATATTAAACTGTTAATTTTTTAAGGTCCATGATACTGATGGTGCTCGATAAATCCATTTATAAACGGATAATTTATATATGTATATATTTATAAATAGATATATAAAATATATATAAATATATAAATAAAAAGAAATATATATATTTAAAAAAAGAATTATATATAGAGAAATATTTTCCTCCTGCACAGAGGAAAAGGTGTTTTGTAAAAGCAAAATGAACAACTTCCACCGTCAGCATAACGACAAAATTATAGCAACTTCCAACCTCCTCAGACTTCTGGATTCCTCCAGGAAAATACACAGGCTCCAAGGCAAGTGATGGATGTGATTTTCCATGGAAATTGGACATTCAGGAACGATGACTTGCCTTCTTTTTTTTTTCCCCCTTGAAAATCAGGGAAATTTCACTCTTATTTCTTTTGCTGAGCATTTTGTCCCAGGAGACCCAGATACCACCATTCCCTGCTTCCTTGGACTTGGATTTTCCTGTGTCACATTTCCTGCGACTCCAACATTAATTTCTTAGAGGAAAACTCCTACTGTAAACAGAGATTTTAAGGCAGGGAGAGGCTTAAAAAAAAGACTTTGGTTTGGTTTGATGGCCCTTCAGTGACTCTTTTGCCAGGTCTTTAAGGCAGAAAATTACCAGGCCCAGCACTGAGAATTGGTGCAATTTTGCTTAAAATCTTATTAAGAAGGATTAGAAGTGATAAAGTACCTTAAATATTTCTTAAATATTTAAATATGTCTGCGTAGACAGTCCCAAGCCTGCAAGATTAACTTATTTAAAATTAAAACCTTGGGAATGGGTTAATTTGATTGGAGGAACGTGCCTGAACTTCTCCAGGTGACTTCACCTGAAGCTGTAAAAGGAACAGTTTCTTTTCCAGAGTCACCAGAATCTCTTGTGAAGGGAACTGATGGGTGGTTGCTCTCAGGGGATGGGAAGTGGTGGATGTCTGGAAATTAGGGATTTAAGCATCAGATCCAGAAGAAAACTATTCCCTGCAGCCTTGGGGGTGTTTCAGTGTCCCTGAACTACCTTGTACCATATGTACAAACCTGCTTTTTTTTTTCTTTTATTATTATTA